TCTGTTATTCAATTGCAAAACAAATGGACAACCATTGATCTGGGGTGGTATAGACTCTCCTGCTTTGAGCAGGGAGTTGGACTAGAAGATCTCCAAGGTTCCTTCCATCTCTATGACTCTATGATTCTAAATAACAAAAACCTTTGCCTTTCTTGTTCATCACTGTCACAACATTTTATCAGTCCAAGTTTTATGTGAAGTGAAGGCAAAAATATTTTCCTCAGATCAACTGGTGGTTCATGTACCATGTTTTTCTGTCCTGGAACAAAATTTTATTATAGCGGTCATTTCTTTTTAATGTAATGTGACTTTCTTGTAAGGCTATCGCTTTCACATATGTTAAGAACACTACTTGGTATCTTTGAGCTGTGTTCCAAGCAGCAGAGCCACTATTTTTAGATCTCCATAGATATTGCAGTTGCAATTGGTATACTGGATGTGCTTCAACGACAGTTCCATGTTTTCATATGTTTCTTTCATATGTGCATCATAGCCAACAAGTACTGAGGAGTGTACATTGTCATTGTGTAAAAAGAGAAGATGTCCATAAAAAACATGTGATAGGTTAAATTACAGGTTATTTTCATGATTAGCAGCCAAAAATGTATAAGATACATCCTAATGTTCAGGAAGCAAAATCTTTATTGACAGTGTAACAGTTCCTTCCACTTCCCTTTCCTAGTTGTAAATAAAAATGTGGAAGATACAGAGCACAGGACTGAATTTTGGGACACTCCAATATTACGAAGAACCCCTGGTGATTATTATTTTTATTATGATAGCTGTGCAAGAGTCCTCTAAGTCCTGATCAACCTCTAATTAGACTTTTATAATGTATTTAATACGTTTGTGCTAAATATCTAGGGGATACCTCACAAGTTGCTTAGCAAGGCAATCTAACCCCCTTGCCTGTTCCAACTATGTTTTCTGGCCCATCCTTTACATGGATGAAGTTTTTACACATGTGTAGTGCATGCATGGATTGTTTCTCCCTGCTGTTTGACTGCTGAAGCAGGACATAAAGTGAAGATTTATGTCTCAACAGGCAAACTGCATTTTCTTGAAAAAACATATCCTCCTATCTCTACAGCACAAAACATCTCATTAAGGAAAAGCACCCAGTGAATGTCATTGCTTAATAGATTTGAACCCTGGTTTGCCCAGCTCTATTGCAATATATCACATTGGCTCTGCCTGCAATTGTGAAAATGACTTCCATTAGTTGCTGTCACTTTTGTAAAAGATGTTAGAGATTTACTCACAAATTAGAGAAAAAAGAAGAGAAAGCTTGTGGATGCTTCATCACTGGAGGTTTTTAAAAAGAAACTAGACAGCCACTTGTCTCAAATTGTATAAGGTCTCCTGCTTGAGCAGGGGTTGGACTAGAAGACCTCCAAGGTCCCTTCCAGTTCTATTTTGATTAAGACTATGGTTGTGAACATTATGAAATCATTGTGTAAATAATTTTCCCTAAACATAGTTTCAACAGGTTTTCTTTATCATTGCTTCTGTACATCTTTGTATTCTCAGCTCCACCTCTTAGAGTGATCCTCACAAGCCAGGACCCTGATCACAGAATTCTTTAAGTGTTATGGGTAGGTATTATTGAGCTAGAATGCTAGGTGCAAATTTGTTTTTAACTCATCAAGAGTTTCCTGGCTCTTCGAGCATATAAAATGCTCACAAATTGCCCAAAGAAGGGAAGGTTGCACAGCTATTGATTATCTCTCTTAAATTGGCAGCTTGCTAGTGGTTTGTCACTTCAGGGAACACAAGAACTGTAGCAGCAAAGAGGGAAACATGATCTCTCCCTCGTTCTAATCTGTTTGGAAGTCTAGAGTGACAATCATGGTACTGATGATAACATCTGGGCTTCTTTTATACATGATTTGTACATCTCCAAAATGCATCATGGACAGGAAATACAAAAGGGGAATGCCACTTCACAAACCGATTTGGTTTCAGCTCAAGGATTGCCCATTATGGAAATACAAATATCTCCCTTTTTATTTTAAGTGCAAAGTGCAAAAAGGGCTCACTCTTCATTCCTCTCTGTTACTTTAGGAACAATTTAAAATCATGAACGTTGCTAGTTTCGTTCATTAGTTATATGTGGGAAGATGTTCCATGGGATGGAATTGCACTACATAAGTGGACTTGCCCTGGTCCCCTTGGCTGAACCCTGAACTTCTGAAGTGAAGTCCACTATATGAGAAGGGCTTCACGTGATAGCATGGCTGTGCCATTGGGGATCTGGTTATGTGAAGCTCTTAAGCATAAAGCACAGCTGACACATAAAGCACAGTCTGTAAGGTAAAAGCTAGCTTCCCTTTTAGTATCACCCAACTTGGTGGTAGTGCAGAGGACCCACTCACGCCATGCTAATTTTAAGATATATAACATTAGCAGAGGGCCTTCTTCAAAGCATTAGGTGGCACTTCCTAAAGTTCATGGATCACTAGATGCATCTGAAAACATCTTGGCTGCATGGAAACATCAGCCTGTTCAGACCAACCCCTGGAGATGACTCTTTCAAGATAGACCCCAAATGAATGTCAATGAGTTTAAACACTGAACAGACAGACTTCAGTCTATCAAGAAATCGCCTGATTCATTAAGAATCAGAGAACCTATCCTTACGATGCTATGTATCCAATTTTAAGAAGCATGGCAGATTTCAAATAATCCTACAAATATTTTAATGAAATACTTCTAAAATGTTTTGTTAGTGATCCTCAGCTCTCATTATAGAACCATAGGATGAAGAGTTTCTTGAGAGGAAAAAAATGTTAATAAGTCGGTAGTGCTGAAAAGGACTAATATTCTACTTCATCAATAGCTGTGTTTCTTTTTCTCCCTCCAGAAAAAAAAAGATTTAGAGCACATTATGATTGGCTTCAAAGAATCCTTTAGTTCATTTCCTGATATGCTTATCAGAATGCAGTGAGGATTTTATTAGGCACAGTGTTTATCTACAGCATCTGGAGACCTTGGTTTAGTTAGCGAAGACCAACAAACCTTTATGAAATTGAATCACACATCAAGATATGTATGCCAATAAAATGATATGGTTTAATAGGTTTCTTGGGTGTTTTTAGTCTCCACTGCTTATTGCTTAAAAAAGAGGAACCTATTTCATTATCTCTCCCACTTTGGTCTTTAACCAACCATGCTAATTATCTGACTTCCATTTTTTCCAATTATATTGCCATATCTTACTTTGCATCCATTCTGTTCAACGATAATTGATTTCAAGGCTCAGTGGCCCAGCATATTTCTTAGAAGTTCATTCTAAGTTCATCAGACAGCACTGATTGCATTCTCAAACATTAGCAGATGGTATTTTGCCAGACTCTTTTTTTCTGACAGGGCTTCTTGCCAGTTTACTTTTTTTCCCCTGCCAAGGACTTCCCTGCCAAGGATCAGAATCTAATTTGTTCAAACAACAATAATACTTTTGTTTTGTTTTACAATTGTAGCTCCACAGGAGCTACAGAACCTGTTGCTGCAATTATGAGAATATCAGCCGGTTTTACCTCAATTAGTTTGTATAGGGAAAAAAATTGTGATAGCAAGGGTATAGCCTCAGAACTTTGGCTATCCAAAAAGGTGACAATAAATGGATCAAAATTAAAGTCATGTTGTCCAAAATGTTGTTTCTACATGGTAATGTTCTAAAGAAGAATGTGAAATAAAGATATCTGTAGTACTGTTACATGATTTTAGCCCTAGGGGGCGCTATATCAAAATTTATCTGTAACTTTCTATGCTTATTCAAGTTTCCCAGTGAATGTTACTTGGTTAAGAGTGAACCTGCTGGAAATAGAAGTTGGAAGTTGGTACCGGTAGTAGCCTGGGATTCTAAATCACTTCCCCCTATTCTCTTTCCTATATACATTACATTTTTAAATCTTTCTTAGAGCCTATCATTTTGACTGCTTCTTGCTCATTTGCTATATCCAGTTTATAAATACATGCATATAGACTGTCAAGATGCAAATTCCAGATTTGTGGAATTATCATATGAATAATCAACCAGCTTTATTTCGCCTTGCTAATTTGTTACATCCAGTTAGTACATATGAGTATATAGAATAAACACACACAAATTATGTCACTCAGATTTATGGAACTTTCATATGAATGATAAATTAACTTTATTGTTTGGCTAAGTTCAGAAGTTGCATTAAATAAGGATTTCTTTTCATTGTATACTCCATAGTTAAGAATTAGTGTGACATGTGAGTCCAGCACCTTTAAGTGATCAAACTCAACGTCTCCCCTTGGCTTTTCCCTTTCCCTTCCTCTTTGAATTATGATAAAAAAATTCCCATTTATTATCATTTATTATACTTTTAATCTGTTAAATAATCCATGTTTTCTCAGAAGATTATAACGTTAATTAAAAAGAATAAAACAGAAAAATCATTACAAACTAATATTTTATTTAAAAGCAATTGTCCATTCTGAATTTTTTTTGCAACTGATTCTTGAAGAAATATTGTCGTGAGATGAGTGGCAAAAAGTTTCAATAAATAATATGAAATATTATTTTATAATATTTTACAAATATTTTGCTTAAAAGTTTAGTGGTACAGGCCTGGCTTTTTAACCTGGCTTTTCTGTCAAATAAAGTTCTAGAAGTGGTATCTACTGCATTCTTCTACGTTGGAATACATCGTATTTTCAAGAGTTCTGACTGAGAATGATTAACTGGGTAGCACCAAAGGCCCACTGAATAGATACAGAGGCTTTGCAGTGTTTATACCTTGGAGGATTGGCAGTAAAGATGGCCATTTGTCCCAATGAGAATTTTACAAACACTTTGGCTGGAAGAGCATTTTTAAATAGAAAACACAATAAAGGCTTCAAAAAAAAAAAAAAATGGAAGAGAAACCAGGTTATACTTGGTTTGAAACAAAAATCAGACAATAGGTTAAAATTGCCATTCCAAGCTCTTTCTTCTGGTTATGTCTTCACTAATTCTCTTTCTTTGGAAGGTGACTTTCAGCAAGTATTGTAACTCTACAGATATTATGGAGCTCCTCTGCATTGCCACAGGATTACCAAGGTAAAAATATTTTCTGAGGACACTTTATGTGAACTACTGAAATTAAATTTCTTCTATCTACGATTATAAAGAACATAGAATAAATATTGTCTATCATTATGGAATATGAAATATGTCATATAAGCATATTTATGTATTTTAAACAGTGCAAACATGGCTTTTTCATTCTGTCTTTAAAATTTGGCCTATAAGCAGTAACCCATACATACTATGAAAATTAATTAAAGAAAATAAGAGGCCACCAGATTTCATCATCAATGCTGCTTTAAAAAAATCCAGAATTCTAGGTTCTGTGCTACGGAATTAAAATCCTTACAGCTCTGTAAGGTAAATCAACATTTTTAATCTTTTTTACTGATGGGACTAAGTTTGAAAGAAATGAGACCTGGATATTTATAGATTCGTTTTTCAGTCTTTTTAGCCTCTGTGGTGCATTAGCTCTGATAAACATGGAGCCTCAGGCCAAACCTCCTCCCAGAATTGGCAGGCAGATTTGAAGAGATGTAGCTACCTTAGCTCCAGGCTGTTTAGTGCTTTAAACTTCATAACCAGCATTTGTAACATGAATGTGCTGTGTAGTGTACTGACATTAGAATATATTTTTTTAAAACCTGGTAGAAAACTAAACTGCCATTTGATCTTCTAGAATGAAAACTGAGAACATTACAATATTTCTCCTGTAGTGATATTAGGAGTGCAGTAAGTGAAAGTAGTTTATCACATAAATCTCTTTTCTTGCATAACCTCTCATCATTATATTAAAAATGGAAAGAAAGAGCGTGAAACATCTGTATTGATATTTGAATTCTGTCTTAGGCTTTATTCACATATGATAGGCATGAACAATTCATAAATATTCACTCTATTGAAAATTAATATGAAACCGAATTGGCTTGTGTAATCATCTTGCACTTTGCACACTGCCTATGTAGCTTCAATCCCTGAGGGTTGTTGCTCCAGTAGCTGTCAGCCAGGGCATTCACCTCTGCAGAGTTTTCCTGATGGTTGATTTTGAGTTTTGGTCATCTAACTATCATTGAATTATAATTTAAAGATTCACTTCAAATGTTCATTTTAATCATTCATGATTTTCATATGTGGCATACAATATTGAAAAAATCAGCTAATGGTGCTCTTAAAACCTATACTATTCACGTTTGCAACATGTGGATCAAAGAATGTCAACCATCTGGTCTACTGAAGCTTTCTCGGTTATTGCCATATTAAGTTCATATTAGTAAAGTTGGAAGGGACCTTGGAGGTCATCTAGTCCAACCCCCTGCTCGGGCAGGAAACCCTACACCATTTCGGACAAGTGGCTGTCCAGTCTCTTCTTAAAAACTTCCAGTGTTGGAGCATTTACTGCTTCTGGAGGCAAGCTGTTCCACTGATTAATTGTTCTCACTGTCAGGAAGTTTCTCCTTAGTTCTAGGTTGCTTCTCTCCTTGATTAGTTTCCACCCGTTGCTTCTTGTCCTGCCTTCAGGTGCTTTGGAAAATAGCTTAATTCCCTCTTCTTTATGGCAGCCCCTGAGATATTGGAATACTGCTATCATGTCCCCCCTTGTCCTTCTCTTTGTTAAACTAGACGAAGAGAAGGACAAGGGGGGACATGATAGCAGTATTCCAATATCTCAGGGGCTGCCATAAAGAAGAGGGAATTAAGCTAAGAATTAAGCCACATAGATTTAATTTAACAATCTAAACCAGGAGTGTCAAACTCGCAATGTCACGTGACATTCGTGACATATCGTGACTTTTTCCCCATTGCTGGCAATGGGGTGGGCACAATTTTGGCGTGATGCATCCAGCCCACAGGCCAGCAGTTTGACACCCCGATCTAAACAATTCATAAACAGCTGATAAAAGCACCTTTCTCATCTAAAAAACAAATTAACAATTTTCAGGTCAGAAATAAAGCTTTAACTCCCTGACCTGAAAAATAGTATTCCTGGTATACAAGTGCGTTTCCAGAGAAATTACCAAAAATGCTTCAAGATGTTTTCCTTTAGAGCTGTTGCAAAAACAGCAGTTTTGATTCCAGACAAACCAGGTAAATGAAAGCACTATCGGGAACAGTACATGTTAGGTTTTTTTTTCTAATGCATTCAATTTCTAAGCATTGTGTTACTTGAAACATTAAAGTAATAACAATATAATCAATTCATTTAAAATAATGTAGGGAAAGTATAATAAAAACACATAAAAGCCATTATCTCAATATAACATGGGAACTTAAAACTAACTGAAAATATCTGGGAAAGAAAACTCTTTTCTTCTAACTGGGAAAGATTCTGGCTTTTTATGCTTCTTTTGCTGGTATTACATGTCAACTGAAAAACAGGGCTTTCATTCCTGTAAATAAGTGCATAATAAAGGTATGTAATTATCTTACAACATTTCAAACTTTAAAATATCATCATAAAATGTAATGCAAAACCATGCATCTCTTTAAATATTTCTTTAATATAAAACCCTTTCATATTTTACCATCTAGACATCTTTCAAAGGAAAGTAAACAAATTCATGCAGAGGTATATCAACCGTATCACTTGCTTCAGAACATTAGCAGAATTGCACTCATTTCCTTCTTGAGGGAGCAGTAAGAATACAAATCTGTTTCACAATGTTATCATTGAACTATCTGAATATAAAGAAGTGAATTATCTGAGTACTATTACAACTAAGAGATGAAAAAGTGAATGCATTGTTGTATAATATTTAAACTGAACCATCATTTTCATTTGTATGAATCGCAGTATTCCATTTAACACAGTGAGATAATGCATGCAATGAATATGTGATGCAATACCATGAATATTTCTGAAGTTGTGTCAGGTGCAGAAAATGCAATTCAGTCTACATTTATTAGGAAAGAGCTTGTCCATTTGGACAGATGCACACCCACATGGCAAAAACCCTGGGATGCCAGTAGGATGTGTGTCCCAAAAAAATAAGATTGCAGCCATACTTTCTTTTTATTCTCTCACAGATGCTCCTGCAAAAATCCTAGGCCATTTCTTTATTTGTGCAGTTGAAATCTATATGCATGCATCTGTATATTCACTTTCTGCTGAATGTTCAGAGGATACACAAACAATAGTGGGGATATCCCAAAATTATGACCACACTTTCCACTACAATATAAGACATTTATTTGAATACTCCTGTCTTTCCTACCCTGGAATTCAACAATAGCATTCTGCAATACTTATTTTGGCACTCTTCTTCCCTGTTGTGGTCCTTTGTCTCTTTAAGAAGGCAGCAACTTTTTAAACTACCTGTCAAACTTCCTATTAAAAACATGAAATTGCAGTGAAAAGGCTGGGTTCTAACCTGGTTCAATAAACCTAGCTTTAAACTTTGTCTTCCAGGAATACAACCATTTCACTCTTCACAGCCGATGACTGCATGATATCCATTGATCCCACTATGCCATCCAACTCAGAAAGGCAGGTATATCTTGTTATGATTGAAGCTAGCTTCAAAATGGAGGTTGGGTTTTTTTTACTCGGCAGTTGTCCTTTGTATTCCTGGTTAATGGGAGACAACAAAAATTACTATTACAACTCTAAAGACCCTTTTAAAACTAAAACCTTATCTATTAATAAAGTATATGGAGTTTTATCTGGGGAAAAAATATACCGCAAACAATTAGCTTATATAAAAACAAATCATCTGAGTTTTTCTGAGGCTTACATTAAGATTATAGGCATTGATGGTACTTTACTAGAAGAAACAAACAAAATGTCATTCTTAATGCAGGAACTTTGGGACAAGTGTATTAATTAGTGGTCAGAAACCTTTTCCCAGTACTTCTCTGTTTCTGCTATAATTTCCCATCACAGTGGTTTACACTGAAAAGTCACTTTTATTCTTCACAATGTATAAGGTTTTAGCCTCAAGCAGACATATACTGTTCCATTAACAGAATTATATATGTGAATAGCATGGTCTGATCATAGTCAAGACCTCCTGACTTTATTGGAGTTGAACAGGTAAATTTTCTGTACTTAAATAATAAGCAAGGGATGTGTATTGCACTCTTTTTTCATCACAATAGTGTTAATCATTTGGAAAAAACATGCTGTAAGGGTTTTTTTCTCTCCTTCCTGTAGGACTCCTTACAAAGTAATACCTGTGGCTGCTGGACAACAAACAGGTAAATTATATTTTAAACTGAAATAATTTTAGAACTGTTCTCAAGATTGTAAACCTGTATTGAAATGATATTTGATACAATACTTAAATCAGAATTGAAAACAAATTTACTGGGCATTTTAAGTCCACTAATTTTAATAAGATAGACCCACCCCTTGAGGTACCATAAATGTGCCATAGGAGATATCATTTTACAGTTTCAGTATTATTTTCATATAGTTGACTCATCTGTTTGACACACTTATTTGCCAACATTTAAATTCTATAATGTACTAACATCTGGTCTGCTAGTACATTTGCTTCTCTTTCAAAAGGTTTGTTGGAAAAATATTTTTATATAAAATTGAAAATGATTTAAAAAGTCTCTAAAAAGGATTAAGTATTCTAACTGGAATAAAAGTGCCCATTCAATGGCAAAATACACTTGTAGATAACAGACTTACTTTCTCATTATTTGATTTTTCTATATCTGATCAGCTCAAAAGTATGAGATGATTCTCATTATGAAAATATTTTTTTAAAGACCCATGATACAAGGTACTTAGAGATGTACTTACTGTCAGGAACAAAACAAAAGAAAAATGCTCTCCAGGGACATGACAAGGAATCTTGGATCAGCACAGATTTATACAGCTGCCCTAGGATGAGGTTCATATAAAATACAAGCCAATTTATCAGGTTGGTAAATACGGCTTCAGACAAAATCCCAAGGAGTCGTTGAATATTAAGGACACGCCCTATCACTTTTATGCCAAACTTATGTGCCACCAAGACTATGTTGTTTAAATATGTCGTGACAGTGTTCTTCTGGCAGCAAATACTTTTTCCTAATGCTTTGGCCTAGAAAGGCCTGAGTGTAATCACAGCTGTGCTTCTGAGGGGGAAAAAAATCAAGAACTGTTTCATTGGCTTCTTTCCTGATTGTTGCTGTAAAATTGACACTGATAGGAATCCTTTACTCTTAATTAAACTTTTATTGATTGCTGTGAGCTGTTTCGGCAAATCACTTTGCCATATTGCCTTTTCCTGGGTGGCTAAGTAATCTAATTATGTCATTCTCCCACATGATTCTTGCTGATGGACCTTGTGGCCAATGTTTGTTTCCAGATCTAAACCACTTTTTTGTTCCTAGATGTTTTGGGGACAAGAGAGGGCTCTTGGATTTTTAGATATCTAGCGCTGAGATTTTATGCTTCCCTGAGACAATTTATTATAATACAGCTACCCATGGAGCACTACTTATATGTCAACATCCTTAGCTAAGACGGCGCTCTTGAGAGAATAGATGACTTTTTTTCGTTAGAATTCAAGAAAAATAAGTACTTGAGCCAGTTCCAAGATGAGTTGAGAGTAGTTCAGCCAGCACTTCAGGACAGATTCAAGCAAATATTGTTAATGTGCAGTTCTCTAACTGGAGAGAAAGATTCAAATGTTCCAGCACTTCCATGGTCTAGTTTCCTTTGAAGGAATATCATGGGATACTTATTGTGTGTTATTTACATTCATGCTGACAATAACTGAAGCTGTATATCTAAATAACTTCTAAATGCCCTAAGCCTTCTGTGGCTCCACATTCAGTATCACTGTTACGAATCTGGCTCTGTCTTTCAAAATGACAAGTATTTTACATGTGGGTGGGAACATCTGAATTATCTCACTTCCTTGGGAAGGGTGAGGGAGAAGTGGAAGAAGATAAAGACACAGACTTCTAGTCCTGCTCCACAATGCTTACCACACATCAGCTGCTAAACACACAGTCAAAGGTGAAACAAGAGCTGTGGGCTGGAATTCAACATGTGAGTGAACATACCTATTATTTATCTGATTATCTTTATCTTTTCATCTTCTTTTTCAAACAGTTGCTTTGTTTGACTTGAGCTCTGACACAGATGTCTAGAAATTAGGCCAAGGTCCTTATGAAATTAAACAACCCTAAGACAAGTTTCTGATCCTTGATTGACAAATTGTTCAAAAACAATTTCTGCAGGGGTTGTCTCATTTGTGCAAAAGATAACACTCGCCCAGATTCCCTTTCCAAATACTATCAAAGAAAAACAAAAAAAATCCAAACCCAGCCTGGTCTTCCTCTCCAGCTAATCATTCTAAGCACAGAAAATTACCACTATAGTGCATAAATATGGAAAATGAGATAAGGGCATATATTTTTCTTTCTGATACTTATGCACAATCCTATCCTATTGACTCAAGTAAGACAGTTCAAGAATACAATGATTTTTCATGATCATAAATATCTGCATTGTGCTGTTTAAATATTTCCTTTATTGTGATCTTTCCTGGCATTTTGCATGACAAATTTGGCTGCACAGGCAGGAAGATACGGCAAGCCATCTAACAAGGGATTTTCTGATATTACTAACAGTTCTTTGATGCCCCCCCTTCAAATAATTTCCCTTAATCTTTTAAAATGAAGGTGCAGGGAATTAAAACGTGTGCATGTTTTCATATAGATCCTGCTCTGATTGTAGCAGCCTGCATTCATGAACAGCAAAATACACTTTTGTTTGTTGCATCTGCATCCACCGGTTTCCTGGCCAAATCTGAAGGCTGAGATAATGTGACTTAAGCAAAAGAGGTCAAATAAACTACTTTGTTCCCACACTGCAGGTGTTGCATCCACAGCATGAGCCCCTGTGGAATATCATGTACTCATCCTGGGAAGGGCTCCCATTGACGTCAGGCTAGGGACCTTAGAGAGTGCATTACAGATCAAGAATGACTGAATCCAAGGCAGCCAGAGGGAAAACCTTGGTTTTACCCCACATCTGTTATCAATTAGTAATTTCTGCATTTTTCTCTAGGATACTGAAGGGTGAGGGAAAGAATCCTGTTTCTATCCCTAATCCCTAGGTTTGCAAAACAACCCCAACAATAAAAATACATTACTTTTGAGAATATGGCATACTTTAATCTTGTTATTTTATGGTGGGGGGGACCTACAACTGTGGTTCCCCAACTATGAGGAAATCACCGTGCATACTTGAGTGAACAGAAGTAGAGAAAAGGTTTGCATGGAAACCATGTGTTGTTTGTCACCTTCTTCAGGATATAGTGAGTGGGATAGTTCTTAACAGGGCTTTTTTTCTCATAGAACGCCCAGAACGGAGTTCCGGCACCTTTTTTGGATGGAACCTTGTAGGGTAGGCAAGGTGGGTTGTATGACGTGTGTGAGTTCCAGCACCTTTTTTTTTTTTTTTTTTGGAAAAAAAGCACTGGTTCTTAATCCAAAGAGTGGCCTAAACAGATACTTTGGCACAACATGTTACTTTTGCACAAGGGATCCCCTAGCAGGATCACTACTTGTTTTCCCTAATAATGCTTTGAACACTATCTTACTTGATTATAAATTCTCACTCTGAACCAAAAGGTTATAAAAACATCCACTTTCCCTCTTACTGGGCCACAGATCAGATGATACTGATAACAAGAAATTATACATGGAAAATTACTGCTTGCTGTCTGTGGATTTTTATTATGAAAGTTTGCAACAGGACTACAATTTTTCCACAGATATTTCCACAGCTAAGTAGGATAATAATACCTTAATCGCTCTAAGAAATATTTATAGCCTGGCACTCTATGGGTTATCTTTGGAAATGTCTGATGAAAGTTCATAATATAGCAGGCAGTTTTACACAGCTCAGGCAACCCATCCTTTCCAGCAGATTCACTGATTTCCAGTACATTTTTAAGCTAAGTTTTCTTACACATTTCAGCTCTACCTTTCTGATAGGAGAATTTTCTTATTGTTACATCTAGAATATTTTTATCTAGAGAAAATTACCTTCGTGCTGATATATTTTCAGTAATGACAGAGATTATCCATCCATCCATCCAAAATGAATTCACTGTTCAATTTTTTCCCAGAGGAAAAAATCAGGAAACAAATTGTTGGAAATTCCCAACACATCTAGAAGTCACCAACTGAGGGAGGCTGAAAAATTTTTTCTGAATCTTTCTCCAAAACTCAGAAGGATCACAGTGACTTTTCTTGGATAACATGGGGAAATGTCTCTGCTTGGAAATTTTGAAGTACAGGTAGTCCTCAATTTATGGCCACAATTGAGCCCCACATTTATGTTAATCATGGGAAATGCTGCAAAGGTTGTAACTGTGAAAAATGGTCATAAGTCACATTTTCTAGTTCTGTTGTAACTTTAAACAGTCACTAAATGAACTGTTGTAAGTTGAGGACTACCTGTACTATAATGCCTCTCACCATTTATTCATATAGGATAGTGTTAAGTCCTTTGATCAACGATGAAAGGCGAAGACTCCTCTTGTGGTTCACAGCTCTTTATTTGTTAACAGCTACTCCAACTCTCTGACAAAACAGCAAGACAGGCAGGCCTCTCTTAACTGCCCAGAGGCCCGGACAAAATTGCAACAAAACACGGAGCGCTTTCGTGCCTCGTGCCATTGCAACATCCCGAGCCTGCTTTTGCAGGCTCAGGACACAACAGATAGGGTGCATGGTTGACCTACAATCTGATCACACTGTTATCTGGAAATATATTGGTTGATGGATTGATTATATTCCATCTAACTGACTCCACCCCTTTATGGATTACTGCCTTGTCGTGGCGAAGGGGCTTGCGTAACTCAATGAAGCTATAAGCTATGCCGTGCAGGGCCACCCAAGACGGACAGGTTATAGCAGAGAGTTCTGACAAAATGTGATCCACTGGAGAAGGAAATGGCAAACCACTCCAGTATCTTTGCCATGAAAACCCCATGGACAGTACTAAAAGGAAAAAAAGATATGACGCTGGAAGATGAGCCCCTCAGGTCGGAAGGTGTCCAATATGCTACTGGGGAAGAGCAGAGGGCTAGTACTAGTAGCGCCAGAAAGAATGAAGCGACTGGGCCAAAGCCGAAAGGACGCTCAGCTGTGGATATATCTGGTGGTGAAAGGAAAGTCCGATGCTGTAAAGATTTTTTCTCCATAGGAACCTGGAATGTAAGATCCATGAATCAAGGCAA